GGAAACGGGCCTCTAAAACGCCCAAACTACCCCCTCTACAAACCCCAAATTTACTCCTCTGAAAAATTACTCTCCCTACCCTCCTCTTCCAAAAGCAAAAACAAACTTACTTAAACTGCAGCGTGTCCGAAAAGGCGCTGCGCGGGGTGTTGATGCCCAAAATGGGGGACTTCGCCACAACGAGTCTTTTCCCTGCCCAGTTAGACGTCCCGGCCCCTTTAATCTTGTTTCTGGAAAAGGCCAGTGGGCAGACAGTAACAAAAATTGAGACACGACAAAGGGCTACTGGATTTTTCTCCTTTTAAAGAAACATTCGCCCGACCCACAAACCAACACAACCTTTTCTAATCCTTCATGATCCTGCTCCTAACCCATTACAAAAAACCTTGGAGGAAATTCCTTCTATGGGAAAAATTTCCCCTTTTTCTGGGGCCAAAATTTTTTAGCCCTTTTTTTGGTTAAGACATTCCCCCGTTCCCGCACCCTTTTCACGAGAAACCCCTTTAAAAAATTTTGGAAAAATTTCCCCAAAATTTTAGGCTTACCCCACCGGAGGTTTTCCCCAAAAAACGGGCCGGAATTTCCTTTTCAAAAATCTTTCCCACGTTTGCCTTTGCTTTTTGGGGGTTAAAAGGGCCCTGGCCCCCTTTTCTAAACGACAAGAACACCCCCTCCCTCCAAAAAACAACCTTTTTTCTTTCCTTTCCTTGGGGGCCCGGGCTTTTCCGCCCCCCGGCCCCCTTTTCCCCCCCCCCCATTTGGGATCTTACCGAACTTTCGTTCGTTCGTTCTTTTTCTTCGCTTTTTGAATCCCCACGACATGGTTTCTGTTTGCACCCAAATCCTAGGTTGAGGGGTGATTACCTCATTTCTGTACATAGGGTTTTACTGTCTTCAAAATTATTCCTAGAATTTTGGGATTTATAAAGCCACCCCGGATGGCAAAAGTCTACATAAAGATACCCAGATGTTGCACATGTGTCTTACTCTCATCTTGTCGGTATTGTATACCATTCGTACACAACTTGTCAGCACTGCAACATCATGGAATTTTAAATTTCTGGGGACATGTACATAACCTTCACGACTACGACATTTTCTACTAAAAACTAACCCATCTCTTTGGGGAAGGACCTACTTCCATGGGGAACCCCGCCTACCATGAATATGCCCTCGTCTGCTACACCTGACGTTATATATACGCGCCAGGATTCTTTCTTCTGCTTCAGAATCTCCACGACTATGGTGCTGTTTGCACCTACTCCTAGGTTGAGGGACTAATTACCTCATCTTCTGTACATAGTTCTACTGTCTTCAAGTTATGTCCTAGAATTTGTATTGATAAAGCCACTGGATGGCGAAACGTCTACAATAAAGATACCCAGATGTTGCACATGTGTCTTACTCTCACCTAACAACCTGTTGGTATTTTATACCATTTTAATGTTCAGAGTTGTAGATGCGTGGAACAGTCTTCCCAGTGGGGTGATAGAGGCTAGGACCTTGGGTAGCTTTAAGAAGAGACTGGACAAATATATGAGTGGGAGGGGCTGGGTTTGATTGGTGTCAAAGGGTACGGGAGTTATTTCTTGAGTAGCTTTAGGTAGATGTCGTTTTGATAAGGACCTGCCTCGTATGGGCCAGTAGGCCTTCTGCAGTGTTCCCTACATTCTTATGTTCTTATCTACAAGGGTTATTGAAGCTAGAACCTTGGGTAGTTTCAAATTTTTGTTTTGATAAATACAGGAGTGAGAGGGATTGGTTTGGAGTGGAACTTGCACATGAATGAATGAAGTTAACAGGGCTTGTTTCCGGGGCAGCGCTGAAAGTTGGGTTGGGCAAATATCCTGTTAGTGGGATGGATTGTGAAGGCCCCGCCAAGAAGGGGCCAACACTCATGCTGCAGTGTTCCTCATTTTTATGTTCTTATGTTTTGGGCGAAACGCTATCAATAAAGGATCACATTATACGCGTATTTGTTTTTTTTCCAACGTTTATATGTACTCATAGGCATTGCTGTCTTCATTTCAGGTTCCGTTTTATCATAATCCCTAGTATTCTGCATGGCCAAGTTCTGTATTATTTAGAGTTATTTACTTCCCGAGCTGCAGAACTTTGCATTTGTCTGCATATGTGAGTGAGAAGGGCTTGGTTTAATTAGTAACTGAGGTATTGAAGTACGTTCTTGGGCAGCGTTGAGAAAAGGCTGAAGAGGTAGGTGAGTAGTAGTTAATTTTGAGAATAAAGCGCCTTGTATGGGAGAGTGCACCTGATCTCAGAGAGGTGCTATGAGGAGAGTAGATAAACGGTTCACAGAGCCAACAGTCCGTAGTCCGTGCGAACATTATACATACAACAGGGTTACTTTAATTTGTCAGCCCTTACAAATACTATAACTGTCTGCTAATCCAAGGAATGAGTAACCAGTTGGAAATGTTCAAAGCTTCTTTGAACTTCCGGAACGTTCATGGATACACCACAGTTCATGAGTTTACAGAACAGCTACAGAAGCAACCTATAAGGATGAATTCTGCTGCTCCCTTGAAAGAGATGGCCGAAGACACACAGTCTGTGCAGCCTAGAGACATGAATTTGGCAGAGTTCATTACATTATTACGATATCCATCCATCACGCTCGCTGACTGCAAAGAACAAAATTTAAATATGAATTTCATCAGGAGTATGCTGGATCAAATGTTACCGAAACGCTTCCAGGAAGACCAACAGTCGGAGTCGAAGTTGGAAAAATTGCGTCGTGAGCTACCTCTAAGTACAGAGCACAAACATCTACAAATTTTCGATGCATCCTTCCCTGCCTGCCAGAACAACTCAGAGATGGGGGCCCAGCACATCCATCACACAAACAACCGAGAGATGGAAATAAGAACGTTGCACGTCATTCCATATGGCAACGCTAACTCAACGTCTGAGAAAGATCTCGTTAATAAAAAGGTCATCCCTGAGCCGAAAAAGCTGCAGATCGATTATTCTAATAAACCTAATTCAAAGAAACGATGCATCTCTCCTTGCAACAGTCAAGAGCCAAGGGATTTCTTGTCTTGACTTCCCCAGCACTGAGGGCCAGGAGAACTGTGTTCCTCAAGCGACTCGACAACCTTATCACTGTACAGGCCACTGAAGAAATCAAGTCATCTATCGAAGCAAAGAACCCTTGGGCCAAGGTGGACTTCATTACTAAAATACCCAATGCTTCATCCATGCTGAAGGTCACCTTCAGTGACGTCAACATGGCAGCCAGAGCTCTCGGTGAGGGCCTGGCTATTCACTACTTCCACATCAAACCAGCCTTCATCGAAGCAGAGAAATTCCAACATATCTCACAGTGCTATAATTGTTACTCATACTTACACACCACAAATGATTGTCCTACCAAGGACAAGAAGTTCTGCTCCACCTGTGGCCGTGAGGGTCATGACTTCAAGAATTGCACTACTGCTTCACCACCTAAATGCTTGAACTGCAAGAATGACCACCATACTCTTGCTGCCAGGTGCCCTACCAGAAGAGACATACTCAAGAAACAACAACAACAACAAAAGAAACCCAACCAACAAGCAACCACATATTCTGCTATCGCCAAGCTTCAAGCAGACACTACCAAGATACTACATGCCACGCAAGCTGCTCCCACCACTTCCCTGCCAGCACCTACTGCCGACTCCACCAAGATTCTTTGTTGCATTATGTATGCTCATGTACAGAATGCAGCTGAGCCTGGTTCCTTCAACACCACCATCAATGAACTTTTCAAACTAAATAATATGCCTGGCCTCACATTCCCTGCATCACCACCTTCCACTGAGATCCTAAAATCTACTGCAAATATTACCAGCATCACCGCTGCTCCACCGCTGTCACAACCTCCACTAGACACAGAGATGGACCAATCAGAGACCTCTGAGACGTCGGTAAAACCCACCAATGAGAGTCCACTACCGCTTTCATCCACTGCTAGAGCAACTGACCAGTCGGAAATCTCGCCTTCACCAGTTCAGCCACCAGCCAAGAAAGCAAAAACACAATACACTGCGGATGCACCTCACGGTGCCACTGTCACTGACACTGCTGCACCACAACGGGTCCGATATCTGAAGGGCGTATACTTCTACACAACCAAGGAGTATAAGAACACAATGCTGTCTTCAGAAATCCATCATCACCTCCAGGACGGAACAATCAAGTATACCTACGACCAAACTGCTACATACACCACTGAAGACATGACCAGACTACTCACTGCCAACACCCAGCACCTTGTGGAAGTCAAGTACACCTCAAAGAGGAAATTCAGGATGCTTCAGAATAGGGACCTTGAAGACGGTACCCTCGTCTAGCACGACTATCCATGACCATTCACCCAGCACTTTGCTGTCCGCTAAAGCTGGGGTGTGGCTCCAATCAACCCTGTAACTGCTGCCTCTGCGCAAGATAGAAGAAGACGACATCCTCCAACCGGAGGGCCAAGAAAGAAGAAAGATGATTATCGTCACCCCCCACCCGGGGGGCCACTGCCGGGTCACCATCTGGAGAAGACCTGGGCATGAAGGACCTGCGAATCAACATGAATGAAAATGAACACCAACACACGACACTCCACACAGGAGAGCACAGCGCTAGCACGATCGACACCATGCATTGCCCTTCTAGGGCATGGTTGGTGCCAGAGCCCGAGTTTGTACCTTACAAGATGAGGGGGATACTTGTGCCTCCTCCCATGGGAGACTTAGGTCTCAGACACTCCCTAGACAGGGAGCCAGTGCCGGGCCACCACTTGGAAGGGCCCAGGCCGGGAAAATACCGGCGAATCTTTAACAACAACAGTCCGTAGTCCGTGCGAACATTATACATACAACAGGGTTACTTTAATTTGTCAGCCCTTACAAATACTATAACTGTCTGCTAATCCAAGGAATGAGTAACCAGTTGGAAATGTTCAAAGCTTCTTTGAACTTCCGGAACGTTCATGGATACACCACAGTTCATGAGTTTACAGAACAGCTACAGAAGCAACCTATAAGGATGAATTCTGCTGCTCCCTTGAAAGAGATGGCCGAAGACACACAGTCTGTGCAGCCTAGAGACATGAATTTGGCAGAGTTCATTACATTATTACGATATCCATCCATCACGCTCGCTGACTGCAAAGAACAAAATTTAAATATGAATTTCATCAGGAGTATGCTGGATCAAATGTTACCGAAACGCTTCCAGGAAGACCAACAGTCGGAGTCGAAGTTGGAAAAATTGCGTCGTGAGCTACCTCTAAGTACAGAGCACAAACATCTACAAATTTTCGATGCATCCTTCCCTGCCTGCCAGAACAACTCAGAGATGGGGGCCCAGCACATCCATCACACAAACAACCGAGAGATGGAAATAAGAACGTTGCACGTCATTCCATATGGCAACGCTAACTCAACGTCTGAGAAAGATCTCGTTAATAAAAAGGTCATCCCTGACC